GGGTTTCCAGTCTGTCAACTTGCCCTGAATTTTGGACACAAGTAGCCAATCACCACAATCACATAAGTCAATTCCTTGCAATAAATCTCTTCATATTAAGTATCCTACTAGCTCTGTTTCTCTGGTAGAACTCTGACTGATACAGTCAGCTACATAGAGAAAATAACATTTGGGCAAAGACTTGCAGTTAAGCATGGTGTGTACAAGGAACAGCAAAAAGGCCAGTGTGGCTGAATAAGATTGAGCAAGGGGAGAGACCTAGGAGAGGAGGTTATTCTATTAACCATAAGAATCAGCAGAGAAAGTACAGGCTGTGAGTTGAAAGGTCTCCTTTAGCATCCTTTCTATCATAAGCCAAGTCCACATCATGACAAAAAATGATGCTACCATCATCCAAATATCTCTCCTTCTCTAAAATGGTACAAATGAATGTTCCCCATCTCCACTGTTGACAAAAGCTTCTGGTTACTACAAGGAGATCTTTTGTACCTAACTCATTGTACATTACTGCATATATTCAGAACATTATTTGTGAGCTGAATCATGTTGGTAGTGTCTCCACTAGGGGGTATGGAACTCTGGAGCCAGGCTAGAACATGGATCCAAAATCATCCAAACGTGGATCAAGGACTGACGAGCCATCTACAGTCAATGGGACAGTTTACCTGTTTTCCCTGGGTAAGACGGTGGTTTGGAGTCAAGAAGACTTAATGCTTCTAACTGGTCCCGCCCAGATGTAGTTGAAAAAATAAAGACCAGGATTCCAGATCCAAGATGGCCGAATAGAAACAGCTCCAGTCTGCAGCTCCCAGCGTGATCAACACAGAAGACAAGTGTGTTCTGCATTTCCAACTGAGGTACCTGGTTCATCTCACTGGGACTAGTTGGACAGTGGGTGCGGCCCACAGAGGGCGAGCCAAAGCAGGGAGGGGCATCTTCTCACCCATTAAAGCACAAGGGGTCAGGGGATTTCCCTTTCCTAGCCAAGGGAAGCCACGACAGAGGGCACCTGGAAAAACGGGGCACTCCCAGACAAATACAGTGCTTTTCCAATGGTCTTAGAAAATGGCACACCAGGAGATTATATCCCATGCCTGGATCCACCGATCCCAATCCCATGGAGCCTTGCTTACTGCTAGCACAGCAGTCTGAGCTCCACCTGTGAGACAGCAGCCTGGCAGGGGGAGGGGCGTCTGCCATTACTGAGGCTTGAGTAGGTAAACAAAGCAGCCAGGGAAGCTAGAACTGAAGGAGATAGAGATACCAAAAACCCTTCAAAAAATCAGTGAATCCAGGAGCTGATTTTTTGAAAAGGTCAACAAAATCGATAGACTGCTAGCAAGACTAATAAAGAAGAAAAAAGAGAAGAAGTAAACAGACACAGTAAAAAATGATAAAGGGGATATCACCACTGATCCCACAGAAATACAAACTACCATTCAGCGAATACTATAAACACCTCTATGCAAATCAACTAGAAAATCTAGAAGAAATGGATAAATTCCTGGACACATACACCCTCCCAAGACTAAACCAGGAAGAAGTGGAATCTCTGAATACACCAATAACAGGCTCTGAAATTGAGGCAATAATTAATAGCCTCCCAACCAAAAAAAAGTCCAGGACCAGAGGGATTCACAGCCAAATTCTACCAGAGGTACAAGGAGGAGCTGGTACCATTCCTTCTGAAACTATT